TCAGTGGCTTTTCTTAGGGTGTTTTATCACAGCCACGGAAATAGAACTGAGACACCCAGAGTGCACAAGACCCTAGGTTCCATTCTCAGGACCACACAAAACTGTGATGGTGTACACCTATGATCCCAGCGCTCCAGAGGTGGAGGCAGGAAGATCAACAGCTCATGGTCATTTTCAATGGCATAACACATTTGAGCCACTTAAGAAGAGCATGAACTTCAAATGCCCATTTCCTTTGTACATTAACTTTAAGTTTGAAATGCTCAGATGTACAGGGATATTGAAATAAATATTGAGTGGGCAGTTCACATGCCTACCAGTTCCATTTCCCCCTCCCATCAGCATTTGATAGTTCAGCTGTCTCCAAGCACCTGACGAGACTAGTTCCATGACTCCCCTACCCCCCCCCACACACACAAATATTTGGATGCCTAAGTCTCTTAAAGGAAAAGATGGCCAGGCATGGGTCAACTATCCATGCTGGAGATGTGGCTCAGTGAGTAGAGTGCTTGCCTAGCATGCACAAAGCCTGGGGTGGGTCCACAGCACTGAGAAGGCTGGGTGTGGCACCACCTTGACATCTAGAATAACTAGGGAGATGGGCTTCCCAACTGTAATTCTGCACTTAGGAACTGGAGGAGGAAGATTGAGTTCCTGGCCAGCTTAGGCTATATAGCAAGTTCAAGGCCCTGTCTCCTACAAGGTTGCTATTATTATATCCATTCTACAGATGCAAGGTGAGGGACACAGGTAAAAGAGTGGTAGACTTTCCCTGAGTTCCTGGAGCTACATCAGCAAGAGAGGTTGACTAGGTTCAGAGAAGGCACATGATGGTTTGCATGTGTGTATGTGTGGACATTATGGCCATACTATATTTTTGAGAAAGGGTGTCCTATAGCCTAGACTGGCCTTGAACTCACTCTGTAGTTGAAGATGACCTTGGACCCCTGACCCTTTGCCTCCACCTGTCTGGTGATGGTTTACAGATACATGTCACCACATATAGGGTATGCAGTACTGGGGATTGAATCTGAGTTTTGTGCATGCCTAGCAAGCACTCTACAAACTGAACCACTTTTTTACACCTGATTTTTGGTTTGGTTTGTTTTTTGTTGTTATTTTGAGACACAATTTTTCTATGTAGCCCAGGCTGGCCTGAACCTACTACATAGACTCAACCCAGCTTGGCTTTGAACTCAGATTTACAGTGATTTCCTGTCTTGCCTCTTGAGCACTGACTGGGCTTATGAGTATATGTATGTATAAATGACAACACATAGCTCTTTTTTTTTTTTTTTTTTTTTTGAGAGCTATCTCTGTAGACCAGGCTGGCCTCAATCCACCTGCCTCTGTCTCCAGAGTGCTGGGATTAAAGGCATGCCCCACCATTGCCCAGTTCTTTCTTTCTTTCTTTTTTTCTTCCTTGTGTGTTTGTGTGTGTGTGTGTGTGTGTGTGAGAGAGAGAGAGAGAGAGAGAGAGAGAGAGAGAGAGAGAGAGAGAGAGAAGGACTCAATACGTAACCCCAGAACACCTATGAATTTTCCAACTTCCTGCCTCAGCCTAAGCTCACAGGCCAGTGATACTAGGCCCAGTTCCATGCTTACCTACATTCTAATTAGAAGGACACTGACGGTGCTGGATGCCTCTACCAGGACTCACAGGACTCAGGGTCTCCTGACCCAGCTCACAAAGCTTCAACCTGCTGTGAGTATGGAAGGGTCCTTCAAGCTGAGCCATAAGCAGGCACCCCCTCCAGCAAGTAATAGAGACAAAATCCCCTGGTCTATGCATCAAAGACATCACAATGGCTGTGGCAGCTGAAAGAGGCCTACTTCTCCCCAGTGAGGCCTCTCCAAGGGAACTTCTGGAACCAAGAGCCTGTCCACTCAGAACCTGGAGCCCAAGGACACTGCTTGAGGAGTACTTCTAAAACAGGACTATCATGGCACCAAAATGGGACCATAATCATGGTGAGGGGCCTCACTTGGGAGCTAGAAGGTGGCTTGGGAAGCAGGAGAGGGGAGAGACTATTTGCTGACCTTGGGGCTGATCCTATCTCCTCCCCTAAGTCTCACTGTCCCCTACTACCCAGGTGACCCATTAGGAACAGTGGTTGGGTTAGGCCTCCAGCATCCCTCTCTCTCTTGAAGCATCACATGGGATCTACCAAGGGATACTAACGACTTCCACATCAATTCAGTAGGTGGCACAGCACACAGGCCAGGGCAGGGGTCAGGGCATGGAGCTGCCCACATGCTGAGGTGGGCCCATGCTGTGATGGTGTCTAACCCCATTTGAACAGTCTTCTTCCTACCAACTCCATGTAAATGGTCAAGAAGATCTAGGGTGTAGTGGTACCCAGCACTGAGGAAGCAGAGGCAGGAAGATCTCTAGTCTATGTAGTGAGCTCCAGGACTGCATAGAGAGACCCTATCTCACATAAAGTAAAATAAGGATCCAGGGTTTATTCAGTTGGGCACTGACTCAGCTTGAGACTCCAGTTGGTACTGGTCATGGGCTTCATTTCTGACCTTTTTCTCCTCTGGAAAAATAAATAAGAAAGAAAGAAAAGAAAGAAAGAAAGAGAAAGAAAGAAAGAGAAAGAAAGAAAGAAAGAAAGAAAGAAAGAAAGAAAGAAAGAAAGAAAGAAAGAAAGAAAGCCTGAAAACTAGACCCAGACAAAGCTTCTGGGCCAACATAGCTGAGATACCTCTTGTCCCCAAAGTGCCTGCTTCCTTAGTCCTGCTCTGGGAGGAGACTGTAAAGAACCCTGTGAGAAGAAGGTACTGAAGGAGGCTGAGGGGAAGCTCTAAGCAGAGAGGCCCCAGAGATTGAAAGGGCCAGGCCATTGGTGATGGAGTCAGGGCACCAGCAGGCACCTACAAGATTGTATATGAAAATTCAGTGAGAACCTTACTGCCCATCCATACATATTAAGTCATGGCAGCTCATTCTGGGTGTGATGACTTATACCTATAGCACTGAGGCAGGTGGATTGCTGCAAGTTCCAAGCCAGCCCGAATGAAATCTGAACTCAAAACAACAAAGCTTGAGCTGCAACTCAGTTGGTAAAGTACTTGCTTAGCATGCAAGAAGGCCTGGGTTTGATCTTCAATACTATATAAACTGGACATGGAGGTGCAGGTCTATGATAGGTAGAAGCAGAAGGGTCAGATGTCCCAGTGAGCCTGAGGCATCAGAGCCTCAGATGGAGCTCAAATACCCTGACTTCAGGACCCCTGCTAAGGTTAGGTTCCTTGTGTCTGATCAGAAACCTACCTGGTCTCCAATGCTAACTTACTGAGTGACCTCAGACAAGGTATTGAACTTTTCTGAACCTCATCTCCCCACCTGCAAAATCTGAACAATGCTTCATTGGTGAAGGGGAATATGGTGAAATGTGTTACCTGTTTGGCACACAGTATGGCCAATAGTAAATGGCCCTGAGCTATGTCACACCACAGACCTCTAGCACTTCTATGGACAAGGGGGGGCCCTAAGTGGAGTCAGAAGTGTTAGAGTTCAAACCCTGACCCCTCTGCACCCATCTGTGTAATCGTGGGCAACTTGGCTCTTGGCAGCAATGGCAGCCATGCAGTGGCTCCGAGCTAGCACATATGAGCCCGGGGGCCTTGCTTCTTCTCTTTCAGACTCTCAGCATTCTAAGGAGCCACCTCCTTATTCCCCTCCTCGCGCAAGAGCCCAGAGGTTGCCCCATGCATACCCTGTGTACACCCAAGTACCACCAGTGGTCCAGACCAGTAAGTGTAGCAGCTGTCTCTCCTCCTGGTCTCCGGCTCCAGCTCTCAGAAGGCCTCTTACTAAGCTCAGATGGCACCTTCTCTTGTGAGCCCTCCTCCCACAGCCAAGAACCCTGAAGTGCCAAGGCAGGCTGGGCCTCACACTGCTCACATGGGGTTGGTGCAGTACCAAGGGCTTCTGAGGCATCCTTTCCTACTGTGGAATTCTTGGGGATGGGGTAGGTGCTCATGTTATATTTATGAAATGTATCATAAGTGTTAGTCCACAAATGAGGTTACTGCAGAGTCCCTAAGGTGAACCAGGGCTTTGAGATTCTAAACTAGTGTCCCAAGGAATTCCCAGGCACAAGATTGACACATTAGACTGTATCAGTCAGCTTTACCATGCCATAACAAACCTGACCGCAGCAGCCCCTTCAGATCACCAAAGCATGCTGCAAATTTCTCACACTGGTTTGCACTTTAGTTTGTTGTCTTGTTATTACAGTAATGGTTAAGGAACAAGCTAGACAAATGCTCTACCACTGGCTTACATGCCCAGCTCCTTATGGATTTTTACACTTTTTTTAAAATATTTATTTATTTTATATGTATTGAGTGTTCTGCCTTTGTGTAGGCCTGGTGCACAAGAGCTAGAAAGGGCCTGGAGAGATGGCTCAGCAGTTAAGAGCATTGGCTGCTCTTCCTAAGGACCTGGGCTTAATTCCCAGCACCCACATGGCAGCTCACATTTGCCTGTAACTCCAGCTTTGGGACTTCTGACATCTTCACACAGACAAAACACCAATGCACATTAGAAAAAAGAGAACTGTGCCAAAAAGAGGCAGGAATGGTGAGGTGTGTGTGTACATGCATGTGTGTTCCTTCTTTTCTTTCATGCACCTGCTTTAAGGACGTTTTAACCACAGAGCCTGGAAATCAGCTAAGGCAAGGAATCAAAGACAGTGAATGGGCTGGCTGAGTCTGGTAGGATATGCTAGGGACTCCCCAAGCAGAAGGGACCATGCTTAGAAACAGAAGACCTCCACAGTTCCTAGGCCCTATTCTTACTTGGCTAGCTGGTTTTAACTAAGACAGATCATTTGGCTGATGGGCAGGTACATGGTGGCTTTGGGTGTATAGGTTAGCACAAGGAAGATACGTCATGATATAAGAGGGGTGTCCAGACAGGGGGTGCTGGAGACAGGAAGAAGAGGCTCTGATCTGACCCAGCTCTCCCCCCTACCCCCCCAGACTTGTTCACTGGCATGCCGAGAGTGACAACTTCCATGCCAATGCAGACCATATGTCCCTACTGTGGGAATCACATCATCACAGTGACAACTCCTGTCCCTGGCATCCTCACCTGGCTGCTATGTAGTGGCCTCTTTGTATTTGGGTAAGCAGTGGGGACCTGGTAGGGAGGGGATGGGACTGAGACACAGCTGAAGACAGCTAGAGTAACAAAGAAAACTGAGGACAGAGGTAGATGGCAGCCTGGGTTAGGAAGAGATGCCCTCTGATGGGAGTGGGAATGGACAATGCCAGCAAGTATGTATGGCTCTCAGCCCTGCCCTGCAGAACCACCCCAAAAAACTGAGACCCACCCAGAGGTGTGATGAGGGTGCAGGCCAGCACAGGGACCTCTGCTCAGAGGTAATGATACTGGCCGGCACAGGAACCCCTGATTATGGGTGATGAGGCTGCAGGCCAGCTCAGGCAATCTGCTCAGGTGAGCACACACTGCTTCTGAGGCTGCAGGTGCTTCCTGGGCTGCTGCTTACTCCCCTTCTGTGTGCGGAGCTTCATGGATGTGAGCCACTCCTGTCCCGTGTGCCAGCAGGAGCTTTTCCACCACCGCCGCCTGTGATCTGCACTATAAACAGTGATGAAGCAACGTCAGTGTGTATGTGTGCCCCTGAGTAGCCATCCAGCAGGGGGGTGGGGTGAGCCAGTGACAACATCCTCCACCTCCTCTGTTCTGTCCATGGGTGACAGACGGCACCTGTGTATGCCTGGATCCCAGCATGTGCTGGCTGGTATCCTCTTGGAGAGGTGTGGAGCGCATGCCCACCCATTTCCAGGTTCAGCCTCCTCTGACTACAGATGCCACAGTCCATCAGCCACTTCTTCCCTAGCCCCTTTCCATCAGCTCCAGCTTCTGCCCCTTTGGGAAAACCTGTTACCCATACTCTTACATGTATAACCCTCTCCAGCCCACAACCAGATTCACACCTGCTGCCCCTTTCCCCAGGGACCAGTGTGCTCCATCACTATGTGCAAAACCAAGAGAGCCTTATCCTATCTTTCCCTACCTGCCTTGGGTCTGCAGTCTGGATCCTCTGTGCCCCATCATAGGCTACAGATGTTCTCTGGCTGCTTCCTAGTAGCTTTCCTCAGTTTGCTTTGTCCTCAGTTTTGCTCAAGGCCCCTTCCCCCATTTCTCTAGGCTTCCACCTTCCTCTCCAGTATCCCACAACCTTCTCCCCTGGATGCCTGAGGTATCCAGTAAAACCAGCATATTGGGCTGGGGAGATTTGCCTCACAAATATGAAGACCAGAGTTTAGACCCCCCCCCCAGAACCTACATGAGTGTTGTGACGGGCAGGTTAGCCCACCTGTAATTCCAGCCTCAGAAGTCACAGGCAGAGGAATCCCAGAGAAGGTGGCTATTGAGACTAGCTGCATCAGAAAGCTCTGGGTTTGATTGAGAGACCCTGCCTAAATAAGTAAAGCAGAAGGTTTGAAGATGGTCCCCCACATCAACGTTGGGCCTCCATATACATGTGCACATATGTGCATACCCACACAGGTACACCCACATATATGCAAACACACATAAAAAAAAGGAGATGGGGACCCTCAGTAAGTCCCTGCAGGAGTAGGTGCATGGAAAAGGCATGCCATCTCCTCTCTCTGACACCACAGACATAGCCCTTGGTTCCTGTCCTTCCCACTCACTCAAAATCTGTTCCCCTCCAACTTGTGTCCTACTTGGCTCTGGGTCCTATTGCCCCTTCCATTTCTCACCAGCCAGCAGCCTGTGGCTAACACAGATTGGGTAATACAGCTAACATCGACAAAAACTCACCACTTATTTGGGAGGCTAAGTCAGGAGGATTGCCAGTCTTAGTTACACAGTAAATGCCTACCTCTTTAACTATATGTGTGTGTGTGTGTGTGTGTGTGTGTGTGTGTGTGTGTGTGTGTATCTGTTGCTGTAATGATGTTGTGACCTTGACCAAATCCAGAATTGTTTGGGAGATGAGCCTTGCCTGTGTGGGAATTAGTTATATTTATGGAGGTGGGAGAGCCTGCCCTCTGTAGGTGGGACCCTGGATTGGTAAAGTGGAGACAGGGAGCTGGGCCCCAGCACACTTTCATCGTTCCCTGTTTCCTGACTGTCATGTCACTAGCCTGCTCAAGTGGCTGCCGCCTATGCCTTCCCACCATGAACTATTTGCTAAAACAAACCAGTCTTCGTTACATCCCTGTATTTTATCACAGCGATAGGAAAAGAAACTCTGGCCTAGAACTCACAATCACCCTGTCTCAATGAGTTCACCTGAGGACGGTTGTGACACCATCCAGATAGCACCCTCCCTATGCACCCATCCAGCCGGCCTGCGTGTCCATCTATTCTTCATTCTCCATCTTGTCATTTTCCCAGGCAGATTCACAAGTTTAGCCTGACACCCTCATGACCAAGAGAATCTGAGGCGGGGCTATAGAATCTAGGGAGGGATGGGTCTCCATGAGTTATTTGTGGAGGGGGCCCCCAACCCCCAGTGAGGTTTACTCCTTACAGCTCCTTCCCAGCTTACAGTGTAAGGCCAATGGAAAGGAAGTGGCTTATGGAGACTTCTGGGGAATATGAGGACCACTGGACAAGGTCCAGTATAAGACAGTTGAGCTTTGTGTTTCTTTGCAGTTAGTGCTGAGGACTGAACCCAGGCTTTGTGTCTGATAGGCAAGCTCTACGACAGAGCTACAGCCCCAGCCCTCCTTTTCATTTTGAGACAGTGACTCACCAAATGGCCAGGCTGGTCTTGAGCTTGCAATGTCACTCCCTCCTGACTCAGCCTCTTTTCTTGACTGCTGGTTTGATAGGTGTGCGCCAACACACTGAAGCTCCACTTAATTTACAAAGCACAAACAATGCCCTGCCTATCATTGTTCAAACAGAGAGGGAGGAAAGACTCAAAGAAAGCAACGAAGGAAAGGGGAAATAGGAAGCTTTCAGGCACATGAAGGACACTGGCAACTGGTCTTTGGTGAGGTTCCCTGTAATGCCCACATTCATCACAAGGGGGCAGTGTTGCACCAACTGACAGGGGTAGAAACCCAGGCCCAGGGCACCAGAAACTCAAGTGTGTCTCCCTGCAGCCCCTGCATTAACACGACACGAAAAGGCACACACATGTGAGTAGATACACTGAGTGTGGGCTGGAGGCTTGATGGGATGGCAGCATTTCCTCGATTTTCAGGCTGAGACTCCTAGAAGCCTGAAAGTCAGGTGAGGCCAGCAGACTTCTCTAGACCCCAGGGAGGCCTGCCAGCTGATATACCTTACACCTGCAATGCAGGCCCTGAAATGATGGGAGACAGGACTTCAGAAACCGGATGTACTACAGCTGCAAGCCTGAACTGCATGGAAACAGGACTCACACCAGATCGCACTACCACTGTAAACTGTCTGACAAGTAGCCTTCAGACCCTAAGACATGGGATGCTAGGTCAGCATGGGTCTTAGGGCCTCAAACAGGACAGAGCAACTTGTCTTGAAAATAAACCATCTTTATGTTGCATTGCTCAACTCCAACCTTCCTTGTTCAGACCCCTCCCCCTCCCAAGGCAATAATGTGTTGGCTTTGACTTGTATTCCTAGACAGGTCCGGACAGGAATGTCTCAGTCCTAGGACAAAACCCATTATCACTCCACAGTGTACCATCACAGGACTGCAAGGTTCTGCCCAGGCTGTGACCCCACAAATCAATCACAGGTTTTGGGGATGTAGACTGTAGTCACTTGCCACCTCCTACAAAGTGGAAGAAACCCCACTGAAAACTGACTATTCAGCTTCATTCGAAGGGTCTGCGGTTGTCTGCCACTGACTTGTCAGTGAGGGCTGTAACACTGATGCTCAGTGCTGGGCTGCTGAGTCCATGATGAGGGCCAACAGCCGTGGCCGACACTGTTCTAGGTACTACTGTTTCTAGCCAACTCACCCTCTGAGTCAGAGCCAAGAGATTCAATTAAGTCTAATCCTACTCAGCCTTATCACCAGAGCAGACAGGTGGGTGTGGTATGGTCATGGGCACGGCTCTGGTATCAGCAGTCACCAAGGACGACTTCTGTGCCTACTCCCAGTACACTGCTACCAGCTCTGCCCTGAACAAGTCCACCCTGGGAATCTGCCATGCAAACAGTCCAGGAAGAGTGAGGAGACACCAGGGCTGGGGAGAAAAGTCTGGGCGGCTTTTGATGTGCCCTCAGCTCCAATCCACACCAAGCAGGAAGGTTCACATCTCAACACACTCCCCCAACTTCCTCAGCCTCTCACCCTACTGAAGAACTGAGTTTAGAATATCCAAGAGCCTAGTAAACCCAGTTAAGATGGGTGAGTTCACCTCAGAGACCACTCTCCAAAGGTGCAAACTGGGAACCTGCACCTACCCCCAACATTCAGCCAGCAGTACAGGTCTGTGGCCTCTGATAGGGACAGACTACCTCTCATACCAGCACATCTTTGCCCCCAGAATGTTCTCAAAGCACAGGGGACCCCAGCTTGTAGGTCCCACTCACAGAACAGCAGCACACCCATGTCCACCAACAGCAAGACTAAAGGACATGAAGAGACCCAGTCCTTGTGGAGCATGAAAATGAACTCTGCTGGGGTTTCCTTCTGACTGTCACAGGGTACAGAGAACTGAGCACTTCTGGTGCTTAGCAGCCACAGTGCCTTGGGCACAGCTTCCACTCGCGCAGCAGCAGATGACTTAGTGGGAGAACAGCCTGGCAGAGGACAGGCCATACCATATAAGGGCCCCACACCTGGAGACAGCCTCGTTCCTACAAAAGCACCTGGCTTTATCCCGATCACCTTCTTCCTTCAACCAGATGCCAGGGGATCTCTCTCCCTTCCACCCAGTGTTGGCAAGCTCTGCAGAGACCCACGGCAAGAAAGCTCTAAGAACCCAACCCCACCTACCCACTCACAAGACTGTGTCAGTGTTCAGTTGTGGCACTGTAGACCACCACAAACTTCACCTGTGCCTCAAAAAGGCACCAATATTAACCACCAGGCTTTTCTGTAGGATTGCCGACCCAGGACTCAGTCAGTGGTACAGACATAATCCACTAGAGAAATGTGTCCACACTTCACCTTGACAACTTCCTGCACTGAGAGGGATGCAAATGTACCTCATTCAAGATGAGGGCTACAATGCTCTTCTGGAACTGAGGTCCAGAAGCAGCCTCCACAGGTTCCCATCCCACGGCCTGTGGTATATGTATCAGACTTAGTTTTGTTTGACTCTTTGATGCAGTGTGTCACTATGTAGCCTAATCTTACAAGGTCACAGGGTCAACCCCATCCCCCTCCCCAGGGACTAAGTGCTCAAAAACAGCCGGTTAGCACTGTGGAATCCTCACCTTACTCCTTGCCAGATGCAATGGTCAGGAGGACAGCTGGCTCAATGCTCTTGAAGACCTTATTACTGCCAGAGAGGATCACCAAGGAGACACAGGGAAACACTGCCTTAATGCCACAAGGCTAAGAGCCAACATGCAAGGACCTGCTGTTGCAGACAACCCAGTAGACAATGAGTGTGTACCTTCAGGGTTATGTTCCTGTATTTTCAGACTGG